TTTGTCCGGACCATAATTTGAAGACTAATGGTTGGAATTCAATATAACTTCATACAATGGTCAAGCACATTGAGAGGAAGTGCAATGCATAAGAACCATAACTCCATCTTGACTAATTACAGAGTTATTGCCCTTTGTTACTTTTCCTTGTCCAGAGCATAACTTGAAAACTACTGTTTGGAATTCAATACAACTTCATACAGTTGTCAAGCCATAACTCCATTTTGATAAAATACAGAGTTACTGCCCTTTGATACTTTTCCTTGTCAGGAGCATAACCATAACTCTATCTTGACTAATTACGGAGTTATTGCCCTTTGTTACTTTTCCTTGTCTGGGGCATAACTTGAAAACTACTGATTGGAATTCAAAACAACTTCATACAATGGTCAAGCACAATAAGAGGAAGTGCAGTGCACAAGAACTATAACTCTATCTTCAGTATTTATAGAGTTATTACCCTTTGTTCCTTTTCTTTGTCTTTCTGGACTTATTACAGAGTAATTCAATTAAACTTCATTAATGGCCAACCACATTGAAAGGAATTGCAACATTGAAAGGAAATGCAACATATAAGATTAAGAACCACAACTATCTTTAATTGCCCACAACCATAACTCTATATTTCAATTCTTTTACGAGGTATTCTGTTACTAGTAACATCCTCATTTCCGAAGCAGTCTTGTGGGGGTATTAATCACTTTTAGTGATAGTTCTAGTTTTTGATATTGTAGTCACTTGTATTAAAGGCCTCTGTAGGGGGGCATCAAATTTCCTAAATTGTCCTCACTACAGTACCATGTGTCCAGACAGCTACATGTATGTAGAATAGAATAGAATAACTTCATTTCTGTAAATTTGGTAAACAGAAAATCCTGTTATACATACTGTATACTAAACTAAATAGTAGAGAGTCACAATAACATCTGTTTTTTCCTTAAATACTTTATCATCTGGCAAAGTATTATTATTTGCAGTACAACATCTTAATATGCATGGTGGTGAATGATTTTTACACTTCCCTTTTTGTATGAAATTCAATATAGTATAGGTATAATAGCATATCTGTGAAACACTTTTGCTCCATACAAGTCATTCATAATTAGAAATACAAAAGATCTTAAAAGAAATAACCAAGAAAATGATGATATTTTGATAGTATTTGATTTCCGGAAATAGTATCGTTCAGTACGGAATATAGCCAAAAAATAAATGGCAGCCCCCATTTTCATATACCTGCAATGTTTTTGGTTATTTTGGGCTACAATTGGTGGGTTTAAATTGCTAAAATGGAAAAACTTAATATTTTTTTGCCTTTTAAGTATTTAATTCTTTAAAAGTTGAAAGGGAAAAAAAAATTTTTTTGCCTTTTAAGTATTTAATTCTTTAAAAGTTGAAAGGGAAAAAAGAATTTTTGGGGGAAAACTCGGCTATTTACTGAGGGGAAGACGCCGACTATCGGTGTCAATTTGTTAGTAAAAAAACCCTTGCAGGCTAACATTAATCTGCTTTTGTTCGTTTTACTGGTCAATTTAGTCAAGTATCAAAATGTTAAAACAATCTTAAATTCATAGCTGTGACACGCAAATACATAAATTGATAATTTAGTAAACCACACAAGCCCAAAATCAATCAAAAAACTTAAAAAAGCATATACTTTCTGTTGAATACAGAGTTCCCACGCTGTCCGGGAAAACGGGAAATGTCCGTGAATTTGAAAACAGGAGCTCCCGGCCTTTGAAAAGTCCGGGAATTCAGTGTTGATACATAAAAAAAGTCCGGGAAATGTACGGGAATTAGTCTGGGTAAAGGGGAGGTAAATCAAAAAAACCAAAATGGCGGTCTAGCACAGTTATATTGACTTCTGCATCTTGAATGTTGATGATTTTGTCGATTTACAAGTGTTTTGGGAGGCCAAGTTTGACATTTATGAGATTTAACATTTATTTTTCTGGTACTATGGCAGTTTTGTATGGAAAATTTGTTTAACCTTATTGCTCACAACCATGCTAAAAGCCAAAGGTAAGTCAATATAAAATAAACAATAGTATTACATACATGAACTATTGTCAAGGCAGAGCACAGCCAGTTGGCCACACCATATTTGGGTAGCAAGAAATACCCAAATATTAGCCACAATATACTAAAAATGAATGTGTTATACTAAAAAAGTGCTGTTTTAATCATGAATACAATATACACTTTCACTAAGATGTAATCGAACATACCCAAATTTTCATTTTTGAACCAAAATACAGTCAAACTTGTATTAAGCGACCGCGCATGGGAAACACCCAAAATGGTCGCTTAATGAAACGGTCTCTTAAGACAAAGCATGATATAAAAGTCAAAATTTACAAATGACATCTTTCTTATGCGGTGGGAATGTGTAACAACTTCATTTTTTTATATAAATGTTGAATAATTAGTACGCTCGATAATGCTGTAAAAAATAACTTTCTGTTATTTATTTACAAAACAGTTTTTGATCCATTACGTACATGTTTGACATTTTTTCCAGATTTTTTTAACTTCTCCGTTGCTTTTCCTTGTGTCCAACACGAAAACCCTATTAGTGAGGATGTTTTTTCTGTCGTGCTTTTTCATTCGAAATAACAAAATACATCTAATTTAATTGCTGATCAAGTTCAAGGTCAATTCAATGCAGTCTAAATTGTCAACAAGCGAAGCGTATACACCACACAGGTAGGGGCGGAGCGTTGCATTGTTTAATCGATATTATTGGATAATACACGTCACGCGTTATTACTGACTTACGCTAAAACGGTTTGGGAAATAGAGTTTTTCACACATTTATTTGTTGTGTTTTGATTGCTGACACTTGTGATTTTACGAGGCGGCGTTCTCTAAAAACACAATTACTTGACAGGTAAAAGTGGTCGTTTAATGAAAAGATTAGGTGAGCTAATTAGCGGTCGCTGGTCGCGTTGAGCAAAAGTCGCTTAATACATTAAAAATACAGAGAGAAAATGATCGGGGGGAATTTAAAGTGGTCGTTTAAGACAAAAGTCGCTTAATACACGTGGTCGCATGGGCAAGTTAGACTGTATACCCAAATACAGTATACTCCATGAAAACTATTAAATAAAAAAAATAATACGAATGAAACTTGTATGAAATTACAACAAAATTATACCCCCTTCAAATTTAAATGTTGACAACAAATCTCATATCTTGCAAGTACATTAAATTTGTCTATTCATTAATGAACCTACAGTTAGAAAAGCAAATGTCACTTTTTTCTTACAACATCTGAACTGCCAATTTCAACGGAATGAAATGAAATAATAGTTGGCTAAGTCACATTATTTTGAAAAATATCAATTCATTTTCTCATTAAAATCTATATTGTATACAAACCAAATGAATATTGCTATAATTGTGTGTGTTTGGGTATTTTGTGCTGCTGCCATATTTTGTAGAACCCGTAGCAACTGGCTTAAGCAGAGTACAACATTTAAACATGAAAGTTGTGAAAATTTTTAATGTAGAAACACCTGCAGGCAGTTTTGCATATACCCTTCAGTGTGACATGCTTTTGCCATCTATGCACCTAAGTGGACTGAGGTCAAATGTGAGGTTACATTATTAAAGTACTATGAATATCTTGTAAAAAAGTGATCCCTTGGAAGCATTTTAAAAACACCAAAATTACATGAAAATTGCAGACAACCTGCAACAGTTGCTGTCACAAAGTACATTTCCATTATTTATAGACACTGAAATGTATTTCTGATAGATAGAGTTAGATTTATGTCATGAACTACATGTATTATATTGTTATTAAATGTTGTTTTAAACATTACCATGAAAATATTCATAGGACAAAAAAATTGAATAGCTTGAAATTCAATCTTCTAAAAAGTCCTTAAAAAATCAAAAAAGGTCCTTGATAAGCCCTGGAAAAGTCCTTAAATTTTCAAAATATCTTAAGAGTGGGAACCCTGTGAATAGCAAGAAAAGATTTTGTGACAGAAGATTTATGACATTTGATTTCCTGACACAAATAAAGCTAGAAACCTTAGCTACAACCGTAATGGCTGTGTTTACATTTGCAATTTACTTTTTCAAAAGTTTTCTGTTTCTTTTAAACATAATAAGTTATATTTTACAATATAATGCATGTCGTCAATATTATTTGATTGTGTTAGAAAAAAATTATTTGATTGTGTTAGAAAAAAATTGTTGCTAGTAATTGATTGGAAAGTAAAACTTCATTAGTGTTATATGCATTGGTGGTAATTTTGATCAGCCTACCTCCAAGGTCAAGGTCACACTTGGAGGTCAAAGCTTAACATGGTCTGTTACAGGGTATAATTTGTATTAGGTCCAGAACTTTTTCATAGATCAAAGGATTTTTAAATAACTTGGCATAATTGTTCACAATGATAAGATGACATGTCATGCAAAACACCCGGATCCCTACCTTCAAGGTCAAGGTCACACTTTGAGATCAACGCTTTATATGATCTGTTATAGGGTATTTCGTGTATTAGGTCCATAATTTTTTCATCAAGGGATTTTAAAAGTACTCTTTACAAATGTTCACAATAATAAGACATCGTGACATGCGCAACTGAAAGTCCATATCTATACCTCAATCTTATGAAATAGCACAATTTGGTGCTTCATGTAAAGTGGGAGACATTGGTCACTCGTTTATATAAAATCGTTCTCTGAAATAATGTGAAGTATTTGTTTTGTGACATGCTGAATTCAAAATTAGTATACATGTATGTGATTTTAATGTACAATGTAGTGTGTTGATTTTTTTTCCTTAAAAAAAATCAAACTAAAGCAAAACATTATAATGAATTTTAAATACATCTAAATTGAATTGTAGAATTATTTAAAATACAATGCATGTAGACATATTAGCTAATGAATTTACATGTGAAAGCATCAAGGCATCTTGTGGCGAGTGTCGTGAAATCCTGGCGTGGGTCTCCTGTTTGCAACAAAAGTACTCATGTTTTTCTTTTTTGCAAGACCTAGTAAGAGCAATCATACAAAAAGTGATGGGTTCGCATGTCCAGTATTGTAAGTTACCCCTGTAAGGTAAATAAAATCTTTATATATGCATATGCAGCCTATCTGTACACATTGTATTTACACAAGCACTTTATTTTCTGTTCTTTAGTGGCAACTATGACAATAGTTATGAGAGGTAGCCCTGCTGGTGGTGATACCAGTCAGGAGGCTCAGCAACCAGGGGGTACAACTCCTGTTGCAGCACCAACAGCACCAGCCACAACACCACAACCAGTACCACCTACCCAGCAATCTGGTCCTTCACCACAGGGTGAAGAGAACGGACAAGGGGATGTTAACATGGAACCAGGGGAGGATGGGGAACCAGACTTCCCAATCCAGGAACTGACCCGTCTGGATGAAATGATTAATAGACCCCGTTGGGTTGTGCCTGTGCTACCAGGTGGCGAGCTTGAACTCTTGCTTAATGCAAGTATAAAGCTTTGTAGAGAAGGTAAATGTCAATGTGTTGTATATAATTGATTTTAAAATCATTATTTATTTATTTTATTTGCATGATTCATAGTAGCTCTACTTGAATGATGTTTTTAAATATTCCTGTCATATACAAACTTCTCTTGATTTGTGTTAAGTTTACAGTCATGATTTATCATGTTTAAGTACTATACAATGTTTTTACTTCCTTAAAGAGGATCTGTATTTTTAATTACTTGAAAAAAAAGATCATTGAATCATTGTGTATGTTAAACCTTTTTAAATCTACAAGTGTCTGGGTTGTTCCTTAGGGCAAGATTTTAAAGATCAAAACTCTTTTGAAAGATGAAAACTTGCCTTGTTTGTTTTTCTGATTTTATTGTATTCTTTTTCTGGATGTTATACAGGACTTGACACAAGGAGCGAGGCTTGCCAGAGATTTTTCAGGGAAGGTTTAACAGTTTCCTTCTCTAAGATCATGACAGATGAAGCAGTCAGTGGCTGGAAATATGAAATCCATGTATGTTAAACAGACTTTGCTACACTTCTGTGATAGTAGGAAATCAGTAGAACTTTATAACCAATATGGTCCAATTTCAAATGAAACTTCAGTACACAAAAAAACCCCACTTTATCTCTGTACTTTCAAGAGTTACACATTTTAAAACAACTTAAAATTGTCATAAAATTCTGTATGGTGGTTTTGGTTTTTATCTTTTTTCTCTATCCATTTCAAAGCCACAATTAGGCATTTTTCTCCATAAACAAATGGTATTTCTGAGTACCTTTAACACAATTACCCTACAATAGAAGATATGTAAATGTATAAACATATTCTAAGTGATTCTTCAGTACATATGAAGAATATTTTGAAATAATGTGTATTGTAGTAAAAATCTGTGTATTTTTCTATGTTAATCATATTGTGTATTGTAGAAATGTATATTGAACAATGCTGCCAAGCTCGTAGAGTTATGTGTGGTGAAGTTATCACAAGACTGGTTCCCTTTATTGGATTTGCTTTCAATGATATTTCATCCACAGTGCAAGTAAGTCACAGTCAACCTTTACAATTCTAAAACTTTTTTCACAGACTGGTACTGCTTTGATATTGTAATTGCATTTTTATTCTAAATAAAAGTTTTAAAATCCAATTCTTATATTTGGCAGCCTAAAGTGATAGTTTTTTTCAGACAGTAATGGTTCTATATCTTGGCTGAGATAATTTTTTTCAGACAGTAATGGTTCTATATCTTGGCTGAGATAAGGTAGAAATTTTCTATAACCAGTCCAAGTATTTGCATGTTTGCAATGATGAGTCCAATACCAAAAGTATTGAGTTTCCAAAGTTGCTTTTAAAAAATGTTTAGTTACATACAATTTAAAGTAAAAATTAATTAGCAAAGAGCTATTTTTAAAAAAAAAAGAATTTGGATTCTATTGTGTTTACTGGTATCAAGCAAAGAAACTACGATATTGATATACATGTATCATGTATCATACTACATGTATATAGTTTTTGTGTGTATATTAAAGGTTTCATACTTACAATGGAACACGTACCTCGGAGACGGTCCCAGCTGGTGCAACAATTGCGGATGATGCCCTTTTTGCCAGACCTCCTGATCCTAGAACTCCAAGGGTATGTTAAATTATTTTTGCCTGAAATGGTGTATTTCCCATATGCTGTTATCTTTCACTTTTAGATAATTAACAATATTGAAATTGCTTTCAATTAAGATTCGGTATAGCTTTAAATAATTTTATCAGTTTACTGAAAAATAATTGAAATCTAACAACAACTTTGTTACTTTCATGTGTGAATTACTTTTATTGTTAGGAATTTTTTTTGACAAAATAACATTGCACTGTGTTTGAGTAGTTATTGTGAATGTTGTTGATTTTTCAGGGTTGGCTGGTAGATCTAGTGAATAAATTTGGCAGTTTAGATGGCTTTCAGATTCTGCTGGACAGATTTGCCAACAGTTCAACATTATCAGTACCAGTTATTGCTGCCCTTGTCAAGTAGGTTATCACTTAGGTTTTCCTTTCTCACTTTCTCAATGTGGCTTCCTTAATGGAACATAAGATGAAAAGTTTAATATATTGTTTCTCACTTTCAATTTACAAATTTTATCAATGTGTTTCAATAATTTTTCATTTGTGAAGACTCATGTTTCCGAATATATCTGAATTAATGACTAAATAATTTCACAGTTGATTGGACACAGACACTTTCCAACCAGAGTGAAAACACTGCTTAAATTAGTTCTACTTGGTTGTCTTCGTGTGCTTGAAATATTGCTTAAAGTTTTACCGGAGTCCTTCCCTGATAGTTAAACTGGTATCCTGTTATTATATACTAGTAATGTTGGAAGTTATAAAACCTAATGGGAAAAAAAAGAGTATTAGGGAAGCAAAACGTTTTCTTCATTGTTGTTTCTGTATTACATGGGCTGTTTAATTTGTGATGTATAGAACCTTGTGGGTAATTTGTAACAGTTTGTATTTAGAAATTAGAAATATTTTGTTATCAATGTATCAGATTTTATAATATGGCATGTTGATAAGATCAAATTTCATTGATTAATTGTGAAGTTATTGTAATCTATATATGCAGCTGCTGTAAGTTTATGCATTTATTTTCATTTTTTATGCCACCGCAATCTGCGATGCGGTGGCATATAGCGATTCACCTGTGTGTGTGTGTTTATGCCACCGCAATCTGCGATGCGGTGGCATATAGCGATTCACCTGTGTGTGTGTGTGTTTGTGTGTGTGTTATATAGATTATATAGTGAACTTAAAAAATCTTCTTGTGAAAAACTACTAGTCCAATTTCAACCAAACTTGGCAGGATTGTTCCTTGGGTGAAGGGCTTCCAAAGTTGTTCAAAGAATTTCATTCCATGCAGAAATCTGGTTGCCATGGCAACCAAAAGGAATTATAAGAATAAATTTAAAAAATCTTCTTGTAAAGACCCAAAAGGCCTAGAGCTTAGATATTTTGCATAAGGCATTGTCTGGTAGACCTCTAACAAGATTGTTCAAATTATAGCCCTGGGGTCAAAATTGGCCCCGCCCCGGGGGTCATTGATTTTCACTATGTACATATAGTAAAAACTTAAAATACCTTCTTGTAAAAACCCAAAAGGCCTAGAGCTTAGATATTTTGCATAAGGCATCATCTGGTAGACCCTTACCAAGATTGTTCAAATTATAGCCCTTGGGTCAAAATCGGCCCCGCCCCGGGGTCATTGATTTTCGCTATATGTACATATAGTAAAAACTTAAAACACCTTCTTGTAAAGACCCAAAAGGCCTAGAGCTTAGATATTTTGCATAAGGCATTGTCTGGTAGACCTCTACCCAGATTGTTCAAATTATAGCCCTGGGGTCAAAATCGGCCCCGCTCCAGGGGTCATTGGTTTTCCTTATATGTATATAGTAAAAAATTCTTCTAGCAATTGACAAATGCTAGAGGTTAGATATCTTGCCTGAAACATTGTGTTGTAAACCTCTGTTAATAAACCCTGGGGTCAAAATTATGCCTTGCCCAAGGAGACAGTGACCTACTTTCTTGTCCTTTGATGTACAGCAATGAAATTTTGACCATGTGCACAGTTTTAGTTGTAAAATTGAACTTTGATCTAGATTTTGATGATGTGACCTACTTTCTTGTCCTTTGATGCACAGCTATGAAATTTGAACCATGCGGTGGCATAGCATTTTTCTCAAATGCAATCTTGTCTTGAAAAAGGAATTGTGCAGTTATAAAGATTTTTGACATGCTTTATGGTTTTGATTATTTGCTTACAACAACTTACAAACGTTAATACTTGGCCATACATGTATAATAACCTCAAGGAAAAATGTTTTCTTAACAACTGATATATGGTATATTTATAAGAAATAGTATATAGTGTAGAATAGTGTTATTTTGATACATATTTTTACAGGCCATTTGGATTGTGTGCTGAAGTTCTTACTCCTCATACTGTACAGAAATACTTTATGCCAATAGTGGTGAGTTCTTTTCTATAAACACATTTTAAACTCTGCTGAGTAGTTTAGGTCACAGAGTTTTAAATTATTTGCCCCTCGCTGCAGTGTTTGAATCCTGTTAGGGACTTGAGCTTCTTTCATGTGAGGAAGCTTTCCAGCTACCTTACAGAAGGTTGTTGGTTTTACTCGGGTGCCTGCTTGTGTCTAAATAGAGGCATCAAAGGGTTCTTCTGCCAGATAACCTGATAATTTACATAAGATCCTAAAAGTGCTTGCACAGAAATATCATAGATAATCGTTCTTATAATTGTACTATCCTGCTTATTCAAGATTTAGATATTCAGAATTGGAAATGTAATGGAATACTGGTATCGAAGCAGTTTCCGATAAAAATATGAGGTTATTGAAAAATTTCTCAATAACAACGTCTCCAATTTAAATAAACTTTTGATATGACTAAATACAGGTCATGCATTGTTATTGTAAATAAAAACCGGATTCCTGAATAAGACATGCGCATCAAAAATGGGGCTCCAACGGGAGGTGTAAATTTGCCGTAATTGCCTCGCTACAGAAGCAGTTTCCGACACTTTTTTTTAATCATTGATTTTGCGGGTTTATAAATCGGTATCGGTGTTTTTATTATTATAAGACTTTTTTAAGGCCTCTTTAGACAAATAATATTGCTTTATTTAGGGTTTTAATCGTAATAATTCAGAAATCTTGGTAGACTTAATATGACATCTGCAGTGATTTTACCGAGATTATTATCAGACCGGTTCCGGCGCACTGACCAGTTCCGAATAATCAAGCGAGCCATTCACGTAACCGACAATAAATATAGAAAATATAGAAAATACTCACTGGTTTTGTAGTTTATTGACATTAACAAATTAATAATTAAATCATCATTCTATTTCGGCTTCTTATTTATAATTTTCGTCTGATTTAGGCAAAAATGCTAAATTTCATCTCGCCAATCTTATTGGTATTGGTATATCGGTACATATTATATGTAAACTGAAAGAAAGGGACACAGTTTATATATTGAAGGAAAAGTTGTTATCTGCCTTACAACTTCATCCAAAAATATTTGCAAAAATATAACATAAATATATTAATACCTGTTTAAACTAGGAGACCCTATTTAAGTAGTTCCGAAGCATGTATTTTTAATGACAGGATTTCTGTCAATGAACACTTTTCCATGTGTTCTCATCAGAAATATAATGTTATTTGATAATTGAATTTATGAAAGAGTGTGTAAAAAAAGTGTGCCAACAACTTTGTTGAGATAAACATATTTTGAAGTAAAAGCATTATCATTTATTTAAAAAGCGCTAACTGTTTAAAATAGTAGGATCGAGTCTTTAAGATACGCTATGCTCTTATTTATGGAAAGCACATCTACGTGTAGTGTAATTAATATACATTTAACCTCTGAAAACTAAATGATAAGATAACATGCAGAAGAAAGAACAAATAAATATCGATTTCTATGTCAGTGTTCTAAAAATTGCTGTTAATATATCTGTTTTATGGATAAAATCTGGGACAGAAGATCGTTCTGTCCCAGATAAAATAAACAGTAAATAATAAGATTATCTATAGAAAGTATTTATCACTAATGGGACTGGAATGAATATTGTTCGAGCACAATCGCAAAACAAAAACTAATTTTTTATCTTGACCATGTCACGATTGTGTGATACGTACGGCCAACTGGACAGGTCCTAGGGCTTGAGGGGGGATACTCCGAAGAACAAATTTTCGGAAGAAGCGTTTTCCGGTGTATTTCGATCGTGCATCATAAACTTTATTAAGGGTAAAAGGTTGACTTTTAAAGATCGCATATCGTAAGGACAGTTGTCATATATAACGTGCAAGAACAGAAGTACGAAGATTGTGTTCACACGATGGTTAAAGTTAATCAATGGTCGATCATATATGGTTCAAACAGTACAATATAAGTCAATCACTTTCGTTTAGCAATTGTTTGTATTTTGTTCAAACTAATTTATTTACAGCAATGTTCTTGTATTTTGTTCGCAAGAGTATATCTTACACAGAGCAGAGTCTGAGTTTATGGTATTTTTTTCAAAACACATCGCCGTCGTTTCTGAACTCCCCTCGGCGATAACTGAGCCACGTAAGTTTAGTAAAACTGCCGTGTATGATAAGATTGTTCAAAGGCAGGTCTGTACTTATTCTTGTACTCTTCGTAGGTAATATTACAAATGGTTTGTTGGTAATATTACAAATGGTTTGTTATGTGCACCGGAACTGGTAAACCTCCGGAACTGGTGCAAACAATCAGATTAAATGAAGCGGTGTTCTTATTAGAAAAAAAGGTTTGAAGTGGAATCAAATATCTACTAGCAACTTAGCAAGCACATTTGGTCTTGAAACAATTTGTTAATTTGTATGCAGACAGCGAAAGTTGAAAGCCTGTGTCGGAACCGGTCAAACAACAGTACGTATTTTAATGTCTATTTGAATACAGACATTTTTGATGTGAATTAACATTTGTACAAATAAATATAAAACAAAAGAAAAGAAAAAGAAGAAAAAAAGAAAACTTGTTAATCATTAAATTTTTTATCACGGTCATTGGTCAAAACTAGACTTTTTACATTTCACGGACATATCGTATGCTTGTACCACGAGTGTTATTGCATTCATGAATCCATAACACATTAATTTCAAGTACGAAAATATATAAAAGAAATTCTGTAAAATTATTCTACTAAACACCCCACAAGGTGCCCCATAATAAAAATAGCCTTCTATACGGGAAACAACCTACTGTTAGAACATAATAAACAGTGTTGCCTCCCTTGGTTAGAAGAAAATTGCCGCGGGTTTCCCATTTCTGTCAATTTTGCTTTTATTTCAAGATTTGTTGATTAAAAATGTCAACAACACATAGCTCTTACTTATATTTATTGACTATTATGAAATTTGAATGATTATTAGCGACTTTGGAAATGTCGTCTGTGAACTTGTCTTAATTTGTGCCTAATGGAGTTATCCTTTGCGCATGCGCAACAGTAGCACGTGAAATCCCTCATGCGAAAAATGTAAACACACCTGCTTGTAAAATATAAAGGTGAGAACGATTTATTAAATGTTTAATTTAGATTGAAGAAATTCTGTCGAACGTTTTCCTCGAATGATATCGTTCTCAAAAAAACTCACCTTCAATTTTACAGAGTTGCAGTAAACGAAAATAACCGTATTGTCGGATACTACTAGCCGACGGATACTGCTTCGATACCAGTATTCAAATTGACCATCAGCCTACCTCTGTATTGGATTTAAATATGATATTTATGTTACTTATTTAATGAGAGATATTTGTTACCTTTTATATCTTACATTTTCATATATTCTGTATTTTGTTTGCAGGATATTGTTCCAAAGTTTTTAGATGGACTAACAGATGAAGAGTTAAAGAAAGAATCTAAGACAGAAGCCAAGAATGATGCACTATCATCTATAATCAAAGCATTGAAACAGCTAGTCTATCGTCTTCCTAATCAGGAAGATACAATCAAAAGTTTAGAGATTTTTAGACTTAAAATGATTCTCAGGTCAGTTTTTTCCTTTAATTTATTTTGAAAAATAAATGAATAAGGTACAAAATTTGTTTAGCTGTATTTTTCTAGAACTATATAAAAGCCGTGTGATTAAACCAAAGAGCTCTTTGTATGCCTTTTAATACAGTCATTACAATAATGTATATCAAAACCACTTATAGACAGTCCTAATGATCAATATCATAATTGAGCCATGCCATGACAAAACCAACATAATGGGTTTGCGACCAGCATGGATCCTGACCAGCCTGCGCATCCGGGCGGTCTGATCAGGATCCATGCTGTTCGCTATCAGTTTCTCTACTTTTTATAGAGTATGTAAGCGAATAGCATGGATCCTGATGCGCAGGCTGGTCTGGATCCATGCTGGTCGCAAACCCATTATGTTGGTTTTGTCATGGCATGGCTCATATGTTTGTTGTAGTATGATTGTAGTTTGTTGTATGTATGATGGTATTTATGTTTTAGTTACTTATTTACTTGGGCTGACATTGACTCATAGTTTATAGTTACAGAGTTACTCGAATAGTTGAAATAGTTTTATGTAACATGGCTGTCCAACAAGTTTATGGAAGGCTGCAGTTCTACTTGGTTGCCAGAGATTGCATAACACAATCCACCTAGATTGATATTGATGTTACTATTTTTGTCACACTAAAAATCCAGAATGTAGTAAAATCATTTTATAATGTTTTTATTTCAGATTATTACAGATATCATCATTCAATGGTAAGATGAATGCCCTGAATGAGGTTAATAAAGTGATAGCCAATGTGTCATTTCACTCAAGTAGACATTCACAGTCAGAGGATGATGAATGGCTCACAGCTGATAAAATGGCTGTAAGTTTTTATATATTTCTTTTATGATTTTGTAGAATAAAAGCTATTTTGGTGAAATATTATAAGATTTTCAGTCTTTTTTCGTTTGCATTTTATCTCATCCACTGTTTCACACCAAATAACATTCAGTGCTTTTTAGGGTCAATTTAGGGTATGTCCCATTCCCTCCTCAAAAAGATAATATTTTTCCCCTCAAAAAATTTACTTGTTTTCCCCACTCCATGTGACAGCTCTTGTCTTTCTAGAGGTCTGCATATATATATATTTTGAATCCTTGCATTTCCATTTCTCAGATTTAGATCTTTCAATATTTTATTTTTAGCTCGACTTTTCTATGAAAAGGGGAGCTATCCTACTCGCCCCGGCGTCGGCGTCGGCGTCACACCTTGGTTAAGTTTTTCGTACCACCCCACTTTATTTCAGAAGTATTACAAGTATGGCTTTGAAACTTACCATACTTGTTCACCATCATAACCTCCATCTACAGACAAGAGTACATAACTCTGTCAAGGTTTTTGACAGAATTATGGCCCTTTTTTGACTTAGAAAGTGTATTGAGCTTGGTTAAGTTTTTTGTACCACCTCACTTTATTTCAAAACCATTGGAGGTATTGCTTTGAAACTGACCATACTTGTTTACCATCACGACCTTCATCAACAGACAAGAGGACATAACTCTGTCAAGGTTTTTGACAGAATTATGCCCCTTTTTGACTTAGAAAATACATTGAATATGGGTAAAATCCACTTATTGCCTTAACCCTTTGAGATATTGCTTTGAAACTTTTAATGCTATTTCACATCATTACCCCCATCTGTACGCAAGAGAAGGTAACTCTGTCAAGGATTTGTTTTAAAAATTAAGGCCTTTTATCGACTTAGAATCTTGGTTAAGTTTTTAGTACCAGTCCACTTTTTGACTGAACTGTTTGAGATATTAATTTGAAAGTTGGAATACTTGTTTACAATCATGATTCCCAAACATGTCCAGGAGAAGGTAATTCTGTCAAAGATTTTATTTGAATTATGGCCCTTAACTGTCAATGTTTTGTATTATAGGCAAGCACTAAAAAACTTAAAAAATCTAAAAAAATTCATTCCTATCCACTGAACCTGCAGTGTTCAAGGGTATCACACAATTCAGTAAAATAATTCTTCACTAAATATCTTAATGCTCATGGCCATTGTTCACTTTAAAAATACAGAGATTCTTGTATTGCCTTTTACTGCAAAAACTTTTTTTATTGGCAAGCAATAAAAAAGTCGAGCGCGCTGTCTTACGGACAGCTCTTGTTGTATATATAGGAATGGATACAGGAGAATGATGTATTATCTATTGTGTTGAGAGACAGTTTACACCAGCCGCAGTATGTGGAGAAGTTGGAGAAGATATTACGATTCATGATCAAAGAGAAAGCACTGTCGTTACAGAATCTCGATAAACTATGGGAGGCTCAGGTATGTTTACTTGTCTAAAATAGAGAAAAACAGAATCCCTAAAGAAAGCCCAACACGGCAAAATTGAAAATGTTGCAGGCTCGGTTTGATTGAGCCTGTTCATGGACGGTACTGAAAAGTGCAAGTTACCGTCCACGCCCCCTAGCACCGGCTTAAGCAGAATTCAACATTTAACACGAAAATGGTGAAATTTTGAATTTAGAAACATCCGCAGACGTGTTCATACGGCGGTAATCATGGAACCTTCAATGTGACACAGTAGTGCCATTCCATGAAAAGCGGCGTATGGTCCCCAATTAAAAAAATGCGTGTGCCCTAAACGAGAAAACAATGGGCAGAACTAAATAAAGTGGAATTTTGAAAGGGGATCTGAGGTTATGAAGCCTGCATATCACAGATAAGACGTCAAAAGACAATTTAAAAAGCAGGCAACATATCCTAAGGGTGATTTAACAGTATTCAAGTAGGAATACTGGAACCACCCAAGTTGAAAAAGTCCAAATAGAAGAAACCAAAAACACCACAACACATGTATACACAACAATAATGTCGTGCTGAACGATCTTCAAGGATCGAAAATATAACATCTTTGATTAAATGTACGGGGAGACTTTTTACAGCCGCCACACGGCACAAATAACACTGATGTGACCATAAAATCAGAGAAAAACAGAATCCCTAAAGAAAGCCCAACACGGCAAAAATTGAAAATGTTGCGGGT